GGGAGGCAGACGCAGGGCGGGAGGTGGGAGCTGCTGTCCTGTGTGATTTGTGATTTCCCGGGCTGGCAAAATCACCGACCCTCTCTGCTTCATCCCAGCCGTGCAAGGGCGAGCAGCCCCTTCGTTGCTGGGGGAAGGCTGGGGACCGAGCACGACTGCGGGGCTTGGTGCACGCGGAGAATTAACGATCTAAGCGGCAGTAAATCCAAATAAACACCGACTGTTCCCAAGATTTATTACATGAGCCTGACCTAATACTGTCAGGGCTGCAGCTGGGGCAGCCTGGCCGGGAGGAGGTTTACGTCAGTGCCTTGGGAGTTGAGTGGCACGGGGGCTTTTTTGGGAACAGCCGTGTCCCAAACACCCCCCTCTGCACCAGGAACACCTGGAGGTGTTCCACAAGTCTCTATCAATAAATCTGTGTGGGGCTTGGTGGGCTGGGGCTGTGCCGGGGGGTCCCCCCGTGCCTGATCCTGGCTGTGTGGTTATTTAGGGTTTTACACTGGGCAGATGCAACCTTAGGATGAAGGATGCAGGAGCAAAGGGCTGTCCAGCGTCCGTTGCTGCTTGCCATGGTTTTGTGTCGGGGCGTCCCCCACCCAGGAGCGGCTCAGGGGCAGCCTCTGGAGACTTGCGGACAAGCAAGAGAAGGGAAACTCTCTGCCATCCCACGTTAAGTCCCGTTTCACCTCCCCCGAGCAGAAGGAACCCTGCAGCTTCATGAATATTGCAGTGCAACAGTGGCATGGTGCCTGGTCATGCGGGAGCTGGTATTACATGCACTGAGCTGGCCAGGCAGCAGCTGGAGCTGGGCTGCTGGTGGGCTGCCCTGTGCTGCAGGCTGCTGTAGTCCCTCCTCGGTATAAACACCACTGATCGCTGCCGATCCTCTGGAATCCACTGAGGGAAAAACCTGGCCGAGAACATCTCCTGCTCTCCTGCAGGCTGGCGTGTGAGGAGCAGGCGTGGGAGAGACGTCTCTCACGTCAGGGGAGTTGTCTCTGGAGAGCGAGTTTTGGCCCTGCAAGGTGTTTGATTGCTGTGAAGTTGTTCCTGCTGCAGTCAGCAGCTCTGGGAAATGGGTCGCTGTGGGGCTGTGGCCTGGATCCTGCTCCCTCGACCTGGGGGGAGCGATGGTGTTTGCACAGTGCTGGGGAGGAGACAGACCTGGAGGGAGGGCTCCTCACTCCTTCCAGCTCCAAACCTCTGCAGCACGCTGGGGAGCCGCACGCTGCAGGTCGGGGCACGCGTC